ACCGTCACATTATAACGCCCCCACGGCTGAAAGGGCGAGCATGTTTGGTGTGACGGGGATTCGAACCCGGGGAGTCGAGCGCCCTAACCACCTGGCCATGCCGGCCCAATTGCAGACAGACTGAGAGGGACAATTGAGTCAAGCGCGGTAGTAAAGTGAGTGAATCGTTGTGAATTATAGCGTGTGTTTAAGGAAAAGTGACTGTGGATATTAAGTGTGTTGCAAAATTGTATTGAGAGGGATTAAACTAGTTTTATTTAAGAAATGACTTGTGTCGCTGAAGTTTCATCGGAAATAAATTATACGGAAAATTAACAAACGAACAGAGACATAACAAAGCGTTGTCTGTGTTTCAGAAACATTGTTGATTGGTTATCATAGGGCGCTAGATTATATCAGTAAAACACAATGATATTGTTTAAAATTTTTGATGTTTGATACTTATTTTGTTAAACCTTAAAAAATGCGAGTTATTCTTAAAGTAATGTTGTTTTCGCAGTGATTAAGATTATACTAGTTGTTGTTTTGCGATAACATTTTGTCAACGGAAACATGTGGAAATCTATCTGTGATTATTCAAGCTAGAAAATCATTTAATTAAGTCATGTTTATTCTTAATCTATATTCTTAAATTAATAATGTCAGAAGCAGCACCTATTAATACTGTTACGTGAAAATGTAGCAGCAATCCTGACAACAAGTTTTATGTGACGACGTCAGTAAAATATTTTCTTAGTCCTAAAATTTGTGATAAAACTCATATTAATTACATATGCCCCCCCCCCCACTACACATACACACATATGTACATTCCTCTTAATTAATTTGTCTATTGTGGATTCAAAATCAGAGGCATGTAAAAATGGAATTTCGGATCTATCTTTTGTTTCTCACAAGTCACTGTTCAAAAGGTCTTTCGTTCAATGTGAAAAAAACAACAAAAAATATCTGTAGTTAGCGTGATTTTTATTACAACTTTAGGCCTACTGGATTCTAACACTTCTCTAGCTTTCGGTGTAACTTTCAAAATAGTTTATTGTTTTATCTTAGTTTTAATAATATTCAAAAGATGGCGCTTGACAAATAGTCACGTGGCACGTAGCTATCTGCTTTGGTATATATAATGGCTATTAGAGAGTCGAAGTTCCACATTGTAAAGTACGAAGGGAGAGCAAGAGCATACGTTACTGGGTAACGTGTGCGATGTTTTATAAAACTAGCATGATGATTACGAGTTTGAATTATAGACTGGTTATTCCTCTGATACTAAGATCTTGTTGAAGGGTGAATTTGCTAAGCCTATAATTTTGAGCGCTAGATTGAATGCGTTGGAATTTTATCGATACGTTTCGCGGTATAATCGATCGTTCTGAATGCAGCAAGGCCTGAGAAGTTAGATATAAGAAGACTATGGCAAATGAAGGGACGATAGACGTAAATGGACGTGTTGAGGGTCGAGAAGTAGAATTTCACGCGATGCATTTGGAACCACGATCTTTTCGACCTTTCAAGTCCAGTGAAGAGTACTTATATGCCATGAAGGAGGATCTTGCTGACTGGTTAAACACCCTGTATGATTTGTCCATCACTGCCGAAACTTTCCTGGAAAGTCTAGAAACTGGAGTTATCCTTTGTCGGCATGCAAACCATGTCGTCAGGGTAGCCAGAGAGTGGCGGCACTCTTGCCAGGATAACCTTAATATTATAATCCCGGAGCGCAACGTAGTGTACCGTAATGATGTCCAACCCGGCACGTTTCATGCTCGAGACAATGTCTCCAACTTTATCACGTGGTGTAGGAGTCTGTCGATCATGGAGTGCTTGCTCTTCGAGACAGAAGACTTGGTAATGAGGAAGAACGAGAAAAGCTTCGTCTTGTGTCTGTTAGAGGTGGCACGACGTTGTTCAAAATTCGGAATGCCCGCGCCACTGTTGGTGCAGATGGAAGATGAAATTGATGCCGAATTAGCCAAAGATGGGTTCGAGTCTGATGGGCACGAAGCCGACGACGACTCTGATACGTCGGGCGTTGGAGAACCACCACCTCAAATTATCACCAACGATCTCCGAAGTCTTCACGAAAGGGTAAGAAAAATAAAACCTTAGCTTCAGAATGGCAATAAACAATACAAAGGTTAAATTCTAAGCATTTGTAGACAATGTATTTAACACGTATGAAATCCGATTTATCTGGAACGAGGTAAATATAAAGATGGTTTAGTGTTCATATAAAAATCAGCACTTCTCATTAAGAAAGAGAAAACACTCTCACTGAATATTTTTTGCTTTTTTTTTTACTTAAATTTCTTCATAGAAATTTGGCAGATACACATTTAACAACTGCATTTTATCAGTTTTTATAAGCTAACTTATCGTTTTTGTGCTTTTATAACCCGTGTTTTGATATCTGACACAATGTCAAAGTTATAAGTGAATAACGAAGGAAAAAAAAAGTCTATGACGTTACTGGGTAGAAGTATTATCTTGATAGTAGCGCCATCTTATTGATCAGAGTCGTACTGAAGTGGAATTGTAAAAATAAAAATGAGATAAGCTTTAACTCCAGTTTACAGGACACCGTCAGCTTTTGTGTCCTGTATCTTCAGACCAAATGTTTACTAAACCAATGCACTGCAATATTTCGCTGTCAGATATCTTAAAATATGAAATTAATTTTAACTCTGCGCTGTAATCTGAAAGGTTAATGTATTTCGCGTTGTTTCTTATCGTATCTCACTATTTCACGTTTAACTTAAGTTATTAAACTTTTTTTTTTCCACATGAGGACAAAGGTTTTTTAGATTGCGGCATACCTATTGTTACGAATGTTGTCTAACACTATGATATTCCAACTGCCACAAGTTCGGGCGTCACAGACTACGGTGTTCATACCGCTAGGAGTTAAGGTGTCACAGATTGAGATGTTCATACCGCTTTCAGTCTCGTATATTCTTTGCTTGACGTTTCAGTCGTGTAAAACATGCACGAATGAATACTATAAAGAGAATCTGCCTCACGTATCATGTATAAACCAACTAATATATATATTTATTATAAAAGCTTTGTATTTAAACATTCTATACTCTACATAATATACAATTATAGAGATAATGTAACGGGAAGTTTGAGTGTGAAGTGTCAATGACAATTATATACTCTACATAATATACAATTGTAGAGATAATGTAACGGGAAGTTTGAGTGTGAAGTGTCAATGACAATTATATACTCTACATAATATACAATTGTAGAGATAATGTAACGGAAAGTTTGAGTGTGAAGTGTCAATGACAATTGTATACTCTACATAATATACAATTGTAGAGATAATGTAACGGAAAGTTTGAGTGTGAAGTGTCAATGACAATTGTATACTCTACGTAATATACAATTATAGAGATAATGTAACGGAAAGTTTGAGTGTGAAGTGTCAATGACAACTGTATACTCTACATAAT